ATTAGAATTCATGAAATTTCAATTATTAGGAAATAGAGATTGGTATGTTAATCATCGAGAAGATTGCCATGCAAAAGAATGTTATTCCCGTTAATTAATGATCGTTAACGATATAGAAATGGGGGTTAATGTGATTATTCGACGCATCGTTTCCGTTCGATTTGACATGCGAGTAAGTTAGAGATAAGCGTTAGGTACCGTGACAGTTATGACCATCCCCCTGGAAACCGATATCGCAGTGGCAGGCGTAGGTCGTCTGGAGATTCAGGCAGGACGCGTTAGCATGACACTTGTGGCCCTTCGCGCAGTAGTCCACCCCTGGTTAAATTGGATTAGCCAGGCAGATGAAGAGGCGGTTAGAGATTTGATTAGAGCTTTAATGATTGACGTGCGGGGAAAAAAAGTCAGGAAAGTTTCAATGTTCCTAAAATGCTTTTGCTCCTTTCTTTTCCCTTTGTTTCGTTTTGTTTGTTTTCTTTTTTTTTTTTTTTTTTTTTTTTTCTTTTTATCTTTTGGTCATTTTTTTTGTCGCTCTCTTTTTTGTTTTTCTTTTTTTTCTTTTCGTCTTTTGTTTCATTTTGTTATTTATTTATTTACTTTTTCTCTTTTCTATTCGATTAAATACAAATACACGTGATTTTCTTTTTTCGTTTTCTTTTTTTTCTCCCCCCCTATCCCCCCTATCCCCCTATCCCCCCCCTATCCCCCCGAAAGAAAAGTTACTGTAAAAGAAGAGTGATTCCTTTCTCTTCCTTTTATTTTTTTTTCTTTTTCATTTTTCTTTTTTTCTTTTTTTCTTTTTTTTTTTTTTTTCTTTCCTTTTATATATTTTCTTTGAGATTAACATTTCTACCTGGGCAGTACTTGCAACATTCCTCAGCAACGCTGATTTGTTCGCTGGGCGGACACGGCAGTGGTGGACATCTTGTTTCTGTGTCGAACCTTTGACAGGTGAAGCTACCGTCGTAGCAGTCGCATTCGACGCACTGCTTCGGTGAGACCTTCACGCCGTGATCATAGATCACACCGTGAAGATAACATTGTTCTGTCGAACATGTATGTATATATATATATATATATATATTTATATATAAATAAATGAGTCGTAATTAATGATTGAAAATGTTCAATTGGCAAATGTAAAATGTCGACGTTTTAACTCACTTAAACAAATTGGGCAGCATTGTTCCTGAGGAATGACTGGATTTTTACAGGTGACAGGAGCACAGGGTGTAGGCCTACACTCGATTTCACCATGAACGCAAGAACATTGTTGGCAACCTTTTTCCCAGGTCGCACCATCCTCGTGAACTGTACCATTTGCCCTGCAAGATTTTTGGCACTCGCACTCTTCGACCTTGTTTATTCTGCCCTCTGCAGCGGCTAGCTGAAAGGAAGGAGGTCGATAATAGCGCGCGATACAATGAAATTAATAAAAAGGAAAAGAAGAAAAGAAAGAAGAAGAAGAAGAAGAAGAAGAAGAAAAAGAATTTCATCAAGGAAAGATATAAAAAAAAAAGAAAAGAAAATAAAAGAAACTCGTTCTACCAACCCTATGCGTTAACTCGTTGAGATTGTGTATGAGCTGTTCGACGGTATTCTGGAGCATAGAAAATTGTCCGCAGGTTGGACAGGACGAATCGAGCTGAGGACATTGCGAGAGATATCCATGGGGTCCTGGTACCAGCTTGACGTCCTGCAAAGCACCCTGCGAAAATTTCCTCAGAATAATGATCTCAGTCGAATAATGACAATATAATCATACGAGCTTTAATTAAATGTCTTTTCAAGACATTTGACAAGATCCATTCGATTGTCACATATTATGTATATTTATGTATAGGTACATACAAAAAAAGAAAAAAAAAAAAAGAAAATAAACAACAACAACAACAACAACAACGTCGTAAAAAACGAAACTTTAAAACTACCTTGAAAAGAAAGTGCCTGGCATTTCTCTGACCAATCCAGAGTTGGAGCTGCGGTAGAGTGAAATTAGTGTCTGGTGGACCTGGCCTGAGTAATCGCCTGTAAAGAGGGTGACAGTCGACGAGTAGCTCGACCTGCGAGCCGCTTATACTCAGGGCAACCCTGTGCCAGGCGCCGTCGGCCAGTCGAAAAGGAAATGCCTCGACGTGGACACTCCCGTCACGGCGTGATACATAATGAAGTCGTAATTCGTCCTTGCGCCCGCTGCTCTGCAGCTCCAAATATCTGTTTTTTGTTTTTTTTTTTTTTTTTTTTTTTTTTTTATGAATAACGATAACGATCTATAAAGAAGAATTTCTTTGTTTTCTTTCCGTCTTTTTTTTTTCTTTTTCTTTTTTTCTTCTTCTTTCTTTTCTTTATTTCTTCTTTTCAATCAAAAATCATACAAAAGACGTCCGACGTTAAATAATGTCTTTCTTCTTAGACTCATCAACGTTAAAGAAGACAAAATGAAAAATTGAAAATTAATTCGACGTTTAAATGAGAGCAAAAGAAAAAAAAAAAAAAAAAA